TATTTTTTATGCCGCTTATGAGAAAACATTAAGCAAAGCAAAGAAAAACTTTATTTTGTTTAATAATAAAATAATAAAATATTAATAATTATAATCGTAATATTCTCTTTCTGTATATTCTTAAGTTAAATTATAGTAAACTATACATTACAGTGGAAAACTAATAAAATAGATAAAAAGTTCTAAAGCACTTAGCATCATTTACTACAGCAAAATTATTAATTATTACATTAAATTCATAAAAACAACACCTCGAACAATATTACAATGTGCGATAGACAAAAACGTTCTCAGTGTTTTTCTCATCACTCGTTGCCTAGTTGACGACGAAAAAGACATCTGGCTGATCCGGTGCCAACTTGATCAGGATATTTGTTGATCGTGCCTTAAATCAAAACAGACAATAACTAGCAGGGTATATATGCAACACCTTATACATACACGCGAAGTCATTTCGAAACTTTACCTGGTTTCAGACTAGAGATTGTGGTGACCGAATTTAAATCTAAATTTTCGCGCTGAAATTAATTAGCAGCGGCGCGAAATCACATTTGAATAATTTGAATTTGAAAAAAAAAATCAATCACAAAAAAAGGAATCGTTAAACATACGCAACCAAATATGCACGGTAACGCTGCAGGGTAGTCGGATAATTAGTAGCGCTAGAGGATTTTAGTTAGAGGGTTGGTGGTTAGACAGAAGCAGCATGGCGGCGCGTCAGTATGAATGTGTTTTTGTAAGTGTAAACACGTGGTAAGAACTAGTTTAAATTAGTTGGTTTGGTAGTTAATAAAAGGGAGGAAGCCTTTGTTTAACGACAATCAATCGTAATTTCTATAATGACACAGTTTTCCCCAAACCGCGCGGCTAATTCTTGCGGCTTTTAATCGAAAAAGTGCGGACTTCTGTTCAACGCGCAACACGTGCTGTAAATTTGTTTTATTGTTTGTAAATTCACCAATCAAGTTAGTTTTTCTTAATCGTCAGCTAGTGCAAACACAATTTAACAATCAGGATTATTTAAATAAACCACTTGCTAGAATATTTCATGACATTCACTTAGTCAGAAAACACCTTGTTGTTTTATTACAAATAGGTTTCTGGATGCATATACGTAGGTAAGTGTTATATTATAACACTTCTTAATTCTTCACACAAGATTGCTAATAGTTCATTTACGGCAGTTAAACAAAATTCATTATATTTTTTTTTTCGCGGGCCTTTCAAACTTTTTCAAGGTCAATTAAAGGCGAGAAGTTTGGATTATCACAATACTTTTGTTTTTCAGTTATTGCATAAGTTGCAAAACGATGATGTTGGTGTTTTTACGGCTAAATTGGGTGGTAATAAATTAAAAAAAATAGTAAGACAAAATTACGAAGAAAAGACAGCGCGCACAAAGTGCTGATTCTGATTACAGTATTGTGAGAACCCAAACTTCCCGCCTTTAAATGACCTTGAAAAGGTTTGAAAGGTCCGCGAAAAATTCAAAAATTCAAAATTTGGCCTTGGCTGTGATCGTCTAACAAATGGGAACCTACGTTGTATTTTCTTTTTTTTTTGAAAAATGGCGGGAAGACGTTCTTTCATACAAGTGCATACACTGCGTGTGAGTCGAGAGCGCAAGAAATAATAGACAAAATTTAGGGAGGGGATGCTATCCCCTTCCTTAGGAGGAAAAGAAACGAAGAGCGAAAGTGACTCAGCGTGCTCTTCTGGCGGTCCCGCAGGGCCAAGTCGTCATCGGTCTTCATTCCCAAAAACCCCCTAGTAATAAAAAATTGGTGTTTTTTTTTATTTTATTTTATTTTTATTTTATTAATTACGTCCCCCAACAGGCACTGAGGCCCAATTACAGGGGAACGGGACATACACGTTACACCCAGAGCCATGGCGGGAATCGAACCCACGACCCAAGGTGTAGCGGGCAAGCATGATGCTAACTAGCCCACCCTGGTGTTGAAAGCTACATCAAGATTTTGCCTTCAATGAACAAAACTGCCATTATCTATCTGTGGACGAACCAGGTATTTGTGGTTCCCAGCTCCTCTGAGTCGGGTTGTAAATCATTTTAGGTCTGATTTGAGTAAAATCTTGCAAGTTGTTTCTCCCGTTTTTTTGTTATAACTTAAAATATGATAATCTTATGAGCAAATGAAAATTATAGCTCCATTCAAAATAAAGTTCTCTACAAGATGAGCTAATTTTCAGATCAAAATACTACAAAACCTTCCTGCAAAATCCGATATCAAAGTTTAATGTTTTATTTTTTTTGTTTAATAAACTAGTAGCAATTTTCAAAAATTAAAAAGGAAGCCCCAGAGATTTTTAGGTGACGAACAAGTAGACGCATCGTCCGTGTCTTCAAATGCTCATATAAAGTTAAAATTTTGGATGGCGTTTTGGGTTATTTCACTTATTTCTCATATATTTTGAAAAGATGTGGTTCTGCCTTAAATTTTCGTTTCTTTTCCATCTTTTTCTCTATATGGCTTGTCAATCTTACTATTATCTGAACTGAAATGATTAATGCACACAACGTCCCATGATTTTCGAGTCCACTATTGCGTTGAAATGAAACGAACCCAAGCTTCTCTTGACCAGAAAGACATCTTTAGGAAAACCAAAAATTGAAACTTTAGATTTATTTTTCAACGTTGTGCCGTAATTTGATTTACAATCAACCAGGCACACACAGTGTCGGAACATCTAAAACCATGAACTTAGGTTAAGTAAGTTCTTATATTAACTCTTTGGTCCGTTTTCATAATATATATTTTTTAGTAGGATTACGTACAGTGTTGCCACTTATACTTCAGCACGGCTTGTTAAATTAAGATGACTGTGGTACTTTGGATGGTGCATGATTTCTAACAACACTTTAAATAATAGGTACATGGAAACACTTACCTCAAAAATTATTGACTTCATAATACCCCAGCATGTATTTATTCTACAACTGTAAACTAAATATGTTTGTGTAGTATTTGCAAAACTTTGCAAATTTTCACATTTAAAATTTTTGTTACAAAATTTATTAAGAAGGATAAATAAACAAATTGTAATCGAATCGAAAAGGTGATATACGTAAAAGCAAAAATGGCAGATACGCGTTTTAATGATTTTAATAAAATATAAGTGCCAAGTTACCAAACAGATTGTACAACATTAATTAATTTTATTAAGTAAATAAAGTAAAATTACAGTAAATGCTGAAAACGATGTCTATTTTGTTGTAAGCATTTATGATTATATGGCCCTACATCATAAGCATTATTGCTTATGTCGTTAATTTTTTCTGCTATTCCTAAAGCTAATTCCTCCAAATTGTTGACAGGTGTTCGATAAATGGTGTTCTTTAAGTAAAACCCCAAAAAAGCTGCAGAAATAAGATGGTAAAAGATCTTGGGGGCCCGATATTCTTTGTATTTTGACTAATGATCCGGTTGTCAAAAAAATTTCTACTTCAGAGAAAACATACGGATTCGTTTGCAAGAACGACTCTATTACAAATCATGTTACTCCCCCAAAATAACTATACTTAGTGTATAGCATGACAAAAATGATCTGGAAGGTAGTACAGCCAAGAAAATTGTAAACAAAAATTGACACGGACTAATCACAACCCTGGAAAACGAAATGCATTATTTCAGAGAAACCATGCGGATTCAGTGCTAAGGATGACTATCTTCGATTACAAATTATATTGCTCGTCGGATATAAACTGATGCGGATTTACTTTTTAGTTTTTCTGATCTTTGCTTGGCACAACAATACAAAAATTTAAACAAAACGTCAATAAAAGTCTCGTACAATTAAAAGTTATGTGATGAGATAACTTGTAATCTGAACATTAAAAATTGAGAACATACTGTGACGGAGACATTTTTCAGTACATGTTACTCTTGTTCCTATAAAAAAGAGAAAATCTGTTTAAATAAGGTAGATATTCGTAAATATGCTCTCAGAATGTTTCGTTTGGCGGGTACAGACCTTTTAGTTTTTACTGAGGCCTGTGGTGTTTTTATTTCATACTCATTTCATAGTAAACTTGGGTTTAGCAAACACTTGACAGAAATTGTTAAAAGGTTAGAAGATGTACACTCTCATTTACAGAAAGTGCACTGATTTTTCCGATTTTCCGACCCTCTGCAACTTGTACCTACCATTCACAGTTTACCAAATTCGTATTCAAAATAGTGTGTAAAATCTGTTGAACAAGGTTTCTGAAATGCTCAGTTTCATTGTATCTCGTTTTCATTCACGCCAGTTTCCACATACTTTGTAAGTAGAACTAATATTTACGTACATCTACAATTCTCATCATTATGTATAAGACAAATTTAATAAAATATCTACATTTTGTGACATAAAATTGCTGATACTCTAAGCATTATAATACAAATCAGAGAATGGTTCATAATTATTATTAATTTTTCCCTGCAACTATGTGTAGAAATACCTATTGGGAATAAAGGATTAATATTAACAATTATATTTATTACTTGAGAGTTGCTGTGAAACGATCAACAGGATACATCTTCCTGCTATTCACTTAGAAAGTCTACTTAAGACCGTCATTTAAGTGAACTAATTACTATTTTGTAATGAGAGAGTTTGTCCGACAAATTAAACGACATTCACTATCAGAATTAACTCTTTGTCTTATCGTTAGAAACACGTGTTCCTCAAATGTGCAAAACCCGCCTTTTCCGTGAATTCATTAATTTTTGTCGTACGTCACCGAATTTTTGTTATAATATAGGTACCGAAACATATGCACAACCATATGGTTTTTAAACGCAGAAAATACTATTTTCTATTAATCGTTAGGTCTTGACGTCGCTGTGAAATATAGGATATTTACGAGAAAAGTGATTTGTCCTGAATAGAAATTATACTGTCTCGATTTGTTCTACCTTACAAAAGTGTTCACATAAGTAGGTATCAATGTACCATTAATATGCATTCTCTATAAATATGTATTTAGTAAAATATACTCGCATTCATACAATTTTATTTCTTTTTAATCATTGAACACAAGCTTCTGTGAATTCAACAACATAAATCTCTATAGAACGTAACAGCTCAACAAATTTCACTACATAATAGTTTAATATTATACAATAACAATAAACTGTCTATACAAAAATAATACACTTTAAATCAACTAAATAATACATGCATAGAGAGCAATATGACCTTTATATACATGAAAATACATATTTACATAGAATTGTGTTTGTTTTCCAAATTAGAAACAGAATTGAACAACACATAAAATTGTTGGTCACTATTCCAGAAACCCAATTCCTAACAGATAGTAATATCCAGAAATGTAATCTCGTTCGCTTCTATTAAAGTTATGTAAAAATAAATATCTTTATCTACACACTTTAATCTTATTAGCATGTAAGCATCCTTCTGACAATTCACACACTCAGTGACCAAAATCTTAAAAACAAATACATGTATCACAAACAAACGCTTTAAATTTCTTTTAATAAAATATTTATAACGAATCTAAAGCACCCCCTGTAAGTTTAGTTGCATAAAGATTGATGACCTGCAACAAACAATAAATCAGCTCAGTACATAAGTATTTTTTATTTACATACCTTGTAAATAAATGCATATTGTTCCTTCGTTTGTACTGCACTAGCCCTGTCTCTCCTAATCTTATACACTATCCTGGGTACATCAATAAGACGAGTTTGTTCAAATTCTCTTATAGCAATATCACAAGCTATCACCACCCCTGTACGTCCCGTTCCAGGGCTACAATGAACCACCACAGGATTCAGTTCGTTTTTGGTCATACCATTGGTCAAGTTTCCATTCGTAACTTCCTTCTGGAAAATGTATTAATATTATGCAACGAACTTTTATGTTTTTATTTTAACACGAAAACAGAATAAGAAAATAAAACTGTGTTAAAACAATTTGTTAAGAAACGACCATTTTTTTACCCTATCTAAAGAAGACGACTTCATGTAACTTCGGGCTTCGATGAGGAAAGCTATTAGAGAGTTGGCTTCTAATGGTACCCCTTTTTCAGGCCAGCCCAGATACCAGAAATGCGTGACTTCTCTCCAACTGTTGGAAACCATATTCTAAAAAATAAAGTTGATGTTTGGCTTTGTGGTATGGAGATATCTACCTTTAGTTGTAAACTGGAAATTATATATTTGTCTTTCACTTCGCGTTTCTTCAGAGTTACCTGGAAGTCTCCAAAAAGTCGATGACAATCTAAAACTTCAGATGGCGGAAGGTAATCTACACATTTTTCCTAAAGAAAAAATTTTGGTGTTTACTATGGTTTTTACTTTATTGGCGGAAATACTTACAACACCGTTTTCGAACAGGTGAGTTAACATTAGAACAACTTTACACTGTTGCTCCCAAATCATCCTCCAAAAATCATCAACTGTATTTTGTAGAGGAGCCTGACAGGCAATATAATACCCTTTTGTATTTTTGGGTCCCTAAAATTACACAACTTATAAAAATTCCCAACAAAATTTAAAACGAACCGTAACATAATTAGCATTGATGTAATCGCTGTTGGGATAACCATCAATCAAACTCAAAAAAACACGTGTTTCAGGAAGGGGTATAACATTAGCGTATCTGTTCTTAGTGTCACACCCTTCCGGAAGTTCGTTAGTTCTTGCTGTAATTTGTGGAATTTCCTCAAATTCAGCCTTAATGTCCTCCAAGTTAGTTGCAAATTTTCCAAGAGCAGGAAAATTTAATGGATGACTAACACAAACAGGGTCTTCAAAAGCAGGATTTCCATATGATCTTTTCGAGCCTCTAAGCATTCCTTTCCTTCTCACACTGTTGTAAACTGATACATTATCCATACTATAATCGTCGAGGCTTACTGGAGTACATCTTTGACCATAATTAAACCGCTTTTGTCTTTTGCGCATAATAACCTGTACAAAATAGAACATATAAATTAAAGGTTGTACATTACTGTCAATACATACCAAAAGACCTGCTAGAAGTATAAGACAAACAGCTCCTATTGAAGAAATAGTAATAGCAGCAATAGTTCCACTATTATCTTCAGGTGGATCGGTATTGTTAGTACTGTGTTCGTAAAAGTCGGACGCCATCGCATTATATTCTGTCGTATTTTTTATATCGACAGAATAATCAGTGTGTTCGATATGTTTAAATTCAGGAACACCGGGTGTATGAGTAACAACTCCCGCAGTTGGTTCAGGTTCTTCAACTTTTATTTGTTTAGTAGTTGTTTCTATGACTTTTTCTGTGGTAGTCTCCAGCAAAGTTGTCTCCGACGATTTAACTGTGGTAACTTCCTCGGTTATTACAAATGTTGAAGGTGTAGTAATGTTTTTATATACCATTTCTTTGGATGTTCGCACAGTATTTTCTGTAGTCATAGTATTTTTTCCAACCTCAGACTCTGAATCCTTTTTAAACACAACCTCGGTAGTAGTTTCTTCTTTCAGTGTTGTAATTGAATTTTCACTTGTTTCTGTAGCAGTTGCCGCTGTACTATCGGACAGATATGTGGAAGCAAATGTTGTATTTTCAGATTCTTCCGATACTGTGGACAGTTCAATTTCAATGGTCGATGATTCAGTTTCAATAACTGTCGTTGGTTCAGATTCAATAACTGTCGTTGATTCAGTTTCGTACTGCGGAGAAGAAGTGGTCTGAATGTCTATATTTGTTGTTTGGACAGTAACTTTCTGCCATGGCGAAATACTTGTTTCAGTTACAATTGAAGTGATTGTTTCAACTTCCGTTTCTTTCGTTGCATTAATAATTTCTTTGAATTTTGTTGGCAATGTTGTCGTTGTTTCAGATGTGACTGTCTCCGATTTTGGAAAAACTGTCGTTGTTTCTGGTTCTAGAATTGACGGTGTTGTTACTTCAGGCTGGGATGAAGAAATTATTGTTACTTCTGGTTGAGATGACGAAATTGTTGTTGTTTCTTGTCTGGATGACAAAATTGTTGTTGTTTCTTGTTTGGATGGCAAAATTGTTGTTGTTTCTTGTTTGGATGGCAAAATTGTTGTTGTTTCTTGTTTGGATGGCAAAATTGTTGTTATTTCTATATTTGATGACATTGATGTTGATCCTAAATCTAAAGTCGAAACTTCTGTGTCTGGTTCTGATGAGAATGTCGTTGCTTCTTGTTTTGTTAGCAGGGTTGTTTCATTTTCTACTTTTTTTAGTATTACTGGTTCAGTACTACCCTCTGAAAAGGAAGTTATTTTAACTTCTGGTACATTTGTTGTTATCATTTCTTGTGGCACGTTTGTTGTTATTGAGAATTCTGTATTCACAGAAATGTTATTCTTTTCGAAATCCTTTTCCTCATTTGAAATTATCGTTTTCGGAGTCAACGTTTCTACACTTTGGTTTAATTGCCCTTTTAAAGGCACTACGCTTTTTGGTGGCATTTCCATAACTCGACTTATATCTTCAGAAGGTGTAGCTTCCGTGGTGGTGTTTCGCATTGAGGGTGGAGGTTCTACGTGAACTGGAATAACTTGATTTTCTTGCAACAACTGTTCAGATTTCTTGCTAATATGATTAGTGTCTATGGTAGATTCAGTTCTTGGAACATCATTAAAAGTAAACAGTCGTTTACCCACTTCTATTGGTGTTCCTTTGGAAAGTGTTTCGGGAACTATTTCTGTTTCACCTTTAGGTCTTGCTGTTGTTGTGACAACAGGATTAACAGCCTTAAGAGTTTCTGTCTCAATGTTGTTACTCAAAATAGAAATATGACTGGAATTCTTATTTGATGGGGGTTTAGTAAGAGTAAAACTTTTCCTGGTCGTTAAGATAATACTTTTACTCGTCGAACTTTCCGCGATATCCAAATCACCTTTAGCCGGTATTAAATTGGATAAAGTAGAACTCTCCACTTTCTTCTCATCATCTGGATCTTTAACAATCGTGTTATTTCCACTATCATCTTCATCTGTTACAGTTGTGTGATTATAGAAAGATCGAAAATGTAAATTTGTTCCAGCTTCGACTACAAGATCTTTGTGCAAAGAGTTTTTGCTGCCTGTATCGTTGCTAACGATATTTTTATAATTTATGTAATTCAAGTTGGCTTTGGTATCATTCTTCTGCGTTTCGTCGTAAAGTTTGTCGAGGTTAATACTCTCTTTGGATTCAGATTCAGACGACAATTCATGCGAATCATCAATATGTTCCAGCTTCTGTTCTATACTATCTACCGCTTCTTTATATTTTTGATCAAAAAGTGTGCTCTTCGGGGTTGTTAGTTCCGCATCGAAATCAAAGTGATGCACAAAGTCGGAATGCTTGTGTGTAGTTGCATGAAAATTAAAATCAGGATCTATGTATTTTTCAGTGTCTGGTGAAACAGGCACCGTGTAAACATTGTTCTTATTGTGGAAGTCTTTCGATACAAATTTTTCTATGTCGATTGATCTCCCAATTTCTGCTTGAGGTACTGCCTTTTTAAAAGATTCAGATTTCTGTAATTTACCTACTACGCTATTTTGTTTATCTATAGTTGTGTTATGATCAATACTAAAATCAGTCTTTGGTTTATTGTTATCATCTTCGGTGAGATTCGCTACGACACTTTGAGTTCTGTTTTCAGTTTGAGCTTCTTGAAGTTTCTCAGTGGTCTGATTGTTTCCATTTTCACTGACTTGTCGAACTGAACGGTTTAATGGTGTGGTTTGAATTGACCAAAAGCATAGCAAAACCAGGACCGTACCTAAAACAGAAAAAAAAGATATTTTCTCTTCGGAAAACGTAAAGCCATAGCCGTCCCCAAAGTCGAAGAATTGACGGAAGCGGTGGTTAAGTATGTGTTAAATACCTTAACTGTATCGACATGGCGTCTGATACGCTTTTTTAAGCTCATTCTTTTTGATTAGGACAATGACACTGCAGACACGGTACAGTTAATTATATTACTCTCGAGCTGATTTCATGTCTATTCTAGTATGGTTCTTGAACTATATGACCATACGTGTACACAGCAATTCTTGTGGTTAATAAGGACTTTGAATTGTGGGTTAAAATTGTGCAGAATTCCATGACAGGTTTCATTATCATTGTTATTCCAACCCTGACCAGAAAACGTTCTCACACAAGAATAGTAAATAAAAGGAATGAATATTACATCAAAGATCGCAAGACAAACGTATAAAATTATGCAAAGGCGAATGTACAGTGCAGTGAAATAGATTTCAAAATTGACGTTATTACTGCAATTTATAGGGATTTCCACACGCATTTAATGACAGCTCAACAGTAATTACTGCTGATAAATTTGTGGATGACGTAGCTGGAACTTTTTCATTAAATCCATAAACTGTATATTTTTAAGGAAGCAGTATTCCGACACAACAGAAAAACAAATGCAAAATGTTCTTGCACATATATCAATTAAAGTTAAGTCTAAAACCGGCTATGCAGATTAAATAAGGATACTACGTGGTAAGATTTTAGTTAAACTATTTTCTCAGATGTGCTTGTGTATATAAATTGGACACTCATTTGAATTGTAAATGAGCAGTTAACACAAACGTTGCTAATTTAGTAAGTTTCTAATTAGTCAGAATGTCAAATGTCAAATAAAGTACATCAGAAGCGTAATCAGAATGATAAAAGCTGTTAAAAACATACCTAGCATGAACCGAACCGTGAAACCCATAATGCTGGCATTGTTACTACGATCACCAAATGTTGATTATCTGAAACCAAATAAATTCATTTCAACTAAGTTTTTTGTAAAAAAAATATATTATTATTCTTGATAAGATTAGATAGAACAATATATATAAAGTAGACATTACATTCCATATTAACTTAGTATCTCAGTAATTAAGTACAATGTGTATTCTACCCACTTACTTTTGACGTATTTGTCAAAAACAGCCATCAATATCCGTACTCACTTTTAATTGACTTCAAATAAAGAACTCGAAGGCCAATGTGGCTTAAATACGCATCATTCAAATGCAAATTTTTTCATACACTAATAAAATAATTAGTTTGAATTGAATAAATGCGAAGAGGTTTTTTCCTGCTCACTTACGTAACTATTATATCTTTAATCATGTAAATTGGTTTATGGCTGACGTAATTAAAATGTTATCAAAGTCAGTCACCGAAAATTATTCTTTTAAATACTAAAATAGTGCAACAAATTGAGTTTATTTGACGTTTATATCGCCTCTAGTAGTGATGTAACCGTAAATCAAAACATGCACTTCTCATTTGCAGTGCGGTGTTTTTGTGATAACAACTGTACTGTGTCCGTTATTCCAGGTTCGCAATTGTACACAAAAGATGACACATTTCTACAATTAGAGAGTAAATTAACAAAATTAACACACTTTATAAATGGCTCAAAGGACACAATTCTGTTTGTTATAGCTGAAATTAATTTAATTTTTTTACCTCTTTCCGCTTCGGAGCTATTTGTCCAAAACGACGGAGTAGATTCCTTATGATCGATGCTTACAAAACGTATCTCCTCTTTATCAAGAACCGTTCAGTAACCCAACGTAAAGACAGCCGCTTAAGATACTAGAGAATGCACATTTCCACTTCCACGTCTGCACGTGTTGAAGTCAATGTCAAATTCGTCAATAAAAGTAAAGAATCACGTGTATTGTCATTTCCACGGTAATGACCATCAACTTGCTTGATTTGCATTTCTACATCAAAATGTCAATAGTAATACACCCACAACACAATTTGCAACCATGTCCCACTTCTTCCATTCTCTCCTCCTACCGTATCAGTATGTAGGTGACAACATTTAAATTTTTTCATGCATACAAAACAGAATTCCCTTCTATTCGAGACTACGCTTAGACTGCATTTCCTACAAGTCTATGAAATGTTGTTCTTTATTCAATGATCTCCTAGAATACTGTTATTCCAAAAGAAAGAGCTCCGCATCCGCGAGCAATCAATACCTTTTGAATCAACAGCTACAGGCGAAAATAATACCGTTATGTTTGACATAAATATATCTAGGTGCTCATCATTTTCGCGTTCATGATTCAATTGCTCTGAAAGCTGGAGAGTTAGAAACTACATTTTTTGTAAAAATACATGTTGTGGAAAGTACCATTAAAATAGCATTAAAGTTTTGTTTGCGCTTTCATTATGTAAGCGCATCATCGATTTATGAGCAACGATGGTTCCGAAGAATGCGTTCAACTCTTTGTCTTTTTTGGGCAAATTGCGTAATCGGGAACAGTTCAACTATATTTGCGCTTATTTAATGTACGAAAAATGCGCAAAAGAGAAAGTACGGAAAAATATAGAGCAGGAATTTGAGTTTTACGGTTCGTGTCGAGTTACAGTTAAAGTAAGTGAGTAATATTAAGTGATTATTTGCTATTAGAAATAAATAAAATGGCACGTTGTTAACACGCATCCTCGAATGAGCATTATTGGCATTTACAGAGTGAATGGTTTTTAATGCCAGTACGACGGGATACAAAGAGATCCTTGAGGCGTCAGCTATATGTTCCAAGAAGAAATTGTTGCTGCAAAACAGATGATATTAATAACCTTGGGCCTCTACGTTTAATTGATTTTTTAACATACACGTTTTTTGCGATTATAATAAATACAGATTTATTTGCGACAAACATTTTGTTTGTGTGCTTATGCTTATATAACGCGGTTGTTGGGTTTTTCCGTTGATTTGAAGCAAGTAAACAGTGCGATGCAAAAATATTCCATATATAAAAATGACTAAAAATCCATACCGTCTGTATGTAAAACAACCTTCTTTGTATGATGGAGAGCCCCACCTTCACTGCATTTATTATTCAAAGAGGTCTTCTTGCATTTATAAACGTACAATGTAACTAACCTTTAATGTTTTCTCTCTCTAGAACGCAAGAGGTTTCTTCAGGCAGTTCTCGAATTTCGTAATAATTTTGTGTCGAAACTAGTTATCCTATTGCGAATGATATTCGATGATATCGGCAAGGTAATAATATAGCGGAAATACGCAAGATAACAAAAAACTGTGCTTAAATTGTAATTGTTATATCAACACATTTGTTCGATAGTGGAAAGTCGTTATATTTATTATTCACACTGCATCTATAAATCACCAAATTGTGAGAGACTGCGGTCAATTCACGGAATTTCTCTTACGTCTAGAAAATGTACTGAAAGTTTTTTTAAAATTAATTGCAGACAATTATCTGTCTTAAGACCCGCAGTTAACAGATGTGGTCATTAAAACTCGGAACTATTAAGAGAGAATATCACCAGCTAAAACTTTTCTAAATGAGGTTAAATGTTGAGTTACCTCTGAAGATTATCAACTCAGTTCAACGGAATTCATTATGGAAATTTTTCCACGGCGGAGTTTTTATTGTTTCGTTGCATAATACACAAATTTAAAACACGATCAAGATGACTGACTACCCTTTTGTAACCTCATGTTTTCTCCCGATGAGCGTAGTTCTCCATCCAAACAAAAAATCTTAATTGTTGTATTATTACTAGAAATTAAATTTCTGATTAGTTTTCAGATTGTTACACAATCTTGTCATAGTCAACCATCTGAAAATTAACTGTAATGTGCTAGAATCATTTTTTGCATGACTAAGAATAATCCATTGTAAATAAATTGCCATCTTCTAGCATTACAACACAGCAGCGAATTTTATTTCAAGCTGACTAGTTTATGAAGAAGGCAAAAAGTAAACACGGAAAAAGCCGGACAAGATTAATTGCTTCTCGAAATCGACGATAAAAAGTACCGAGCTTAAATAAATTTATTGATGAGATTTCTTTAAAAAATTTGCCTGCAGATAAACTGAAATAGATATTTACCTTCAAATCTTTAGTTTGGAAGCTCAATGGACGTTGGTTCCGAGGTTACTCAAGGTGATTTTAGTTTACAACGTCATAAAAATTTGTCGAATTCTTGTGTGCTAAATATTTTCACCAAGTTTTACAAAACTGCCGCGAAATAAAATCATAAATACCGGAGTTGATTGCAGTTATGTAATTAAATTTATTCATTGTTTTAAGTTTCGATTTATTGATTTAAATAACGGAACAAGGTTTTCAAGTATGTGAGTCAATCGACAAGAAAACGTTTTCTCAAGAGCAAGAAGCAGTACTTGGTTGGATTATTTAACAAATTTTGCATCAATTAATAAAAGAAATCATTATATTGTATCGTATTTCCATGTAATTTTCGAAACCCTAATCTTTTAAGACGCATTGTTTACTAAAAGAAAGATGGAATGTGTACCTATTGTACATAATGTTACTCCTAAAAATACGAAGAAAATCTACCACTTGATCGAATGCGTTAAAACTAATGTTTTGTCTAAAGATTTAAAAGAAAATGCATAAACTACTCCTAGATGAGCATGATTTTATGCCAGCCAATAATCAACATTATTTAAAATAAAAATATATTACCTCCCCTTATTTAAAAAAATAATAATAAAAACACAAAAGCAGGTTTAGACTATATTCCATATTTTGTTTCAGTATGCACCAAAGAAAATCCAACATATTTTTGTTTTGTATGTTTGTTCACTACTCCCCTCCAGAAAAAAAACCTTCGCTTTCGGACATAACTAATACACAACTACAATGTCTTCATTAACCAAAACATTGAATATTTTAGCTCTATATCTTCATTAAAGAAAGTAATAAAAATACGACTTTAATCTTATAAAATAAAATCACACAAATGCAAGCAAGAATTTCAGTATAGGTCTTAAAGGCGACAAAGTTAATCACTTAAGACACATGTCCCAACTGCCCAGGGTGAATTTTAAGACAGTCAGTGGAAAAAAGCAGAGCCAGGGATGGTATGCTGGTCAGGTAATAGTAGCAATAGCAACCAAATACAATAGAACATACGTTGAATGTGCGATTTCAGATAACCTAACAACGTCGCAATACTTGAAGAGCCAACACCAAAAGATCGCGGGTTGAAGCCGACGCTGTGAGTCGGATGGGCTAGGAGGTGAAGACCCCGTGGTGAGTGACCCTATTCTGAACTACTGACGACGGATAAATCAGGTGTGTCGATTTTCATATTTATGTTTGAGGGCGCAATACCGAACCTGCACTACACCATCATATTTAGGGGCAAATACAAATCTGTAGATTGCAATCAATTAGTTAAATCGTCACTGATAATGAATTCATCTCGCCATGAATTTGAAAGTTGTTTCAACAGAACTTCCCTCGTTCCTGAAATACAATGATAATTTTTTTTGAGTCACCCTGCACACGCAAATCCAAAAAATATTAATGGAATGTTAAATCACACGTACAGACTCATCATATTTTGTACATTTTTGATAGGATTTATTCACCAAAATTTTGGGGTGACGTCATCAATTTTTTAGGGGGGATGAGCAAATACATTTTCATAAAAAATTTACCATGCTTATGATAACTCTAAAAGATCACCAAGATTTCAAACCATTCGGTTTTGTAGTTCCTGATTAAATCAATAAAATAAATTTACGTATTCATTAATTTTTTTGAGTCACCCTACATATGCAAATCCAAAAAAATATGAATGGAATGATAAATCACACGTGCAGACTCATCATATTTTGTACATTTTAGATAAATGTTATTAATTTTTTGGAGGGGATAAGCAAATATATTTTGACTAAAAATTTATTACGCTCTTTACGGAGCATAATAAAACATCCGCAAGATTTCAAAGCATTCGGTTTAGCAGATTCAAAATTAAATTGCAAAATGTTGTTTTATAATTTTGATTTTTTTTCCAAAAATCTAGACGTTTCGGGTAAAAACTCTATTCGGAGTCATAAACTACATGTTTAGGACTATGTTATTTATACAATTTAAAACCCATTTGCTATGTACAATTTTGAAGTGACGTCATCGCATTATTGATGGGGATGATTAGAGAAATTTTGATATTCCTAATATAAATATAAAATTTGATAACAATCAGCCTAGTACTATCGTAGATTATCTGTCTGATAAAAATCCGTGATGGCAGACAGAAACGGGAAGACCTATTTCTTCGTCCTGTAGGGATTATGAAAGGCCGAAAAAACGTAAAAGTAGATTACAATACTTCCCGAGCGTAAGCGAGATACAAAATATCAAAATAATAGTTTATTCCAATCCTAAATAACATCACTGAGGGATTTGTGAAAACAATTTATTATCGTTAAAACTGCTCAAAAAAAATTCTGTAGGTTGACTAATTTATATCGATTTTAACATTTGAAAACTTTGTAATTTTGTAGTAATTTTATTATAAAAGAATTTCCTGTTACATAAAAAAGTGATGTCTTCACCAATTAACTACAGAACCATATATTAATAATAATGGTATTCCACGTATTACATTGAAAATAATAACACTCCTGTTTTCAACCATAACATTTTATCATAATGTCACACTAACGTCATGTTTATTTAGTAACACCATTTATTGTTGTTTTATAGTAAAAAATATATAATGTCGCACTATTTTTCAAGCTGAGTTAAAGTGTGTGCTTACACTTTGCATCAACTGTACTAAAATGATAAACTAGCATTCATCAACAACTCACTTGTTGAAAGATAAAAAATTCAAACGGAATGTAATTTAACCTATGTATACCATAACAATACACCATAACACCAAAATTTTAACTGAGCACCGACAATGATACAACATTCACACTCTTATGTATTTAATGTAATAAAAACATTTCCATCTTACGCAACAAAAATAAAAGAGTGTAAGACCAAATCAATGTGTTCAATATCAGTAGCTTTGCCATTTAAAACGTTTAAAATTGTGGGCTCATCACGTAAAACTCACTTCCAAATTTATTCAACACTAACTTAAAACTTGACTTGAAAATTTGTACCTAAGTGTGTTTAATTTATAGTTGAAATAAGACACCGTCGTTCATTTTCAAAAAGATATATATTTTTTAATGAAAATATATGTGCATACCTACTTACATATATTAGAAATTCTCTGATATCATGTTTTATATATGTATTACCTAAATATATAAAACATAAAAATTATTGCAAGATGTGGTAGGGTATGTATACTGATCTGATGCTCAGTTCTCTTAAGCAACTCATAAAATTGTAAAATACACCAAATGTTTAGTTTACTAAAGGCTGGCTGCGCGCGGCGATTGAAGAATTTTTGTGAATTTATTCTGTTTCTGTAAGTGAAATAAGTGCAAGGAAATAGGTATGAACCATATTTTTGAAAAAACACTTTAAAATTTACATTAATTGATAAACAAGTGTACTACATATTTTAACTGTGAAGAAGTGCTCACAGTGCCAGATCAACTGGTTTTTACAAAGAAAAAATATTGATACTTTGAAATGTGGAGTAACAAAGGGTTACAATATGTAGTTGTAAACTATAATGCTAATTTTTGAACAAAAATGTTATCTAAATTTGAAAAATTTTACTTAAAGAATATGTTACCTTTGTTCGTTATGAAGGATAAAAGGTTACATTTTAGAATTTTGTTTTTATATGCGCTCACTTCTTTAAGTTATGTTATATTCTGTACACTGGTAATTTAATGTATTTCATGTTTCACCATAGCACTGCTATCGACCTATTCTTAACAAAATATTTGATACATTCTTTACCTAGCTAGGAAAATAGGGACTATTTGGAGAATGACTAATTTTATATTTTCTCGACTTTAGTAATGCGTCGAATATGAAAAATTAGATACCCGTTTCCGTTCTCTTTTGGCGGTTTTATAAGTTATTGTTACCATAGACCAAACGAGTGCGAGCAAAAAGGCAAACCGCCAGAAGGATGGTGCACTTGAAGCTCGTGTGGGAACGATTAACTTTCAGAGGGCTACCTGTACTGTTTAAACTGGATCAAATTCAGGCATATCAAGTAGTGTTCACGTTTATACTACACATTGGATATATGACTTTATAAACGTAGTTTCATGAAAAAAAAAATGAGAGGACAATAACTGTTAACGTACAAGACATGTTTAGTAAACTGCAACCTAACCATCACTAAATGCAGCGGGAACGCGAGCCTATGGGCCACTTGAAGTTACCCCTACTAGTCCGATCTCTGGTTTGAAAATGTGTATAGTAAAATATGTATTTACATAGACGCGGCTTATTAATCCAACCTTATATTTAAACTTGTGCATGTGGATTTTTTGTGAAAAAATCGAAATTGGATTAACATGATTACTCATTACACAGTTGTACACATGAATAAAAATATTCTCTTCATTCGTAAAAATTTGTCGTTATTCCAAATGAATAATTTTTACATTCACTGATAAAATCTTATTTAACTTATATTTTATATATATAACAGATTATTATCTACCTTATTATTTTCACTATGCGCATATACTATCTGGAGCAATTAATATTATTTCTCAATATAATAAAACTTGCCAAAGCAACTCGATCCCTGGGGTGGGATTTTGTTTCTACCAGTACCATACGAAGTGATAAATGACAAGGACGAAAATATAAATTTCAGATGGGAAAGAAAAAGACAACCACATTTTATCGGTACCGATATTTTATCGTTATAGAAACAAAATCCCACCCCTGATAACAAGCGCTAACGAAAGCTACAATAAATCAGTCCACGTGCACTTTTTGATTCTTATTGTATATTAATTTTTGGATTGTTTGCCGGAACCAACTGAATTTTTGAAATGGTTGTTAGGCTTGCTAAAACAATATTCAAAAACTTCGTAACTGTCTGACAAACCGTCTATTAGGTACTAGGTAGGAAATAGTAAAATTACAGTGACCGTCCCCTATAAACTGTGAGTTGCGAAGTTATGGGTACACATTGTGATGATAATAGTAAAAAAAACTTACTGCGCCGCGTTTTTCAAGAGTAAAACAGCGTTAAATCTTAAAGCAAAAAATTTGATACATCTATAAGTGTATCGAACAACTGATGGGAAACACTTTGGAATGAAAAGGTAATGAAAACTTTTGTAGATCATAAAGAGTGCCACACAAGTTTGCCGTTTGTGTATCAATATTCTTGTATAAATTTTCGCCTTCGTTTCATAATGGAATACCAGTCTATCGAAGGTTTCAAGAACTTTACGTATTTAAGACGTTGAATCATCATCGCATAGAAAGAATTTGTAGAGTCACTTGTGAGTCATATATAAAATGCCTACATAAAAAATATTGACTAAAATCCAGTTTTTTAATTCGTGTGTAAGTTTAAAACCTGCACGTTTTGCAAACATATAAAACGCACCTGATTGCATTCATAATTCCCTGGCAGCAAATTGCGGTCAATTTAAACTGCAACTACAAAGCTCAATTTAAATATCATCCATTCTCTTCACGTTGCAAATGTCGCACACCTTGAGCTAGTCACGATTTTCGTTTAAAATTCATGATAATACACAGAACGAGTTATATTTTTCAACCTCTTCTGATTTATTATTATTTGATTGAAGGCACTCCTCATTCTAAGTAACAAAAGAATTTTTTACACTCGTAAGGCACGATTCGCTTCATCGCTTTATAGCAAGAATGGCGCAATATAATTGTCGAATAGTTGTTTTAACTTAAATAATATGTATGTAATAAGCAGGAAACCTATGTTTGATTGTAATCCATGACTCCATTCACACCCATTTTACCACAATAAGTCACAAGAAATTCTCACGAACAATGGAACTAACGAAAGTGTTCCAAACACTAATATAACACTTGTAATTTTATTTTTACTCGGTGAAGCAACATTATCTAACTACTCGCACATTACATAAAGTCGAATTTTCATTTTCATGGTTCATTATTTTTTTATGTAAGAAGCGAATTTTTTACTTTGGCGGTTATTATGCAAGGGACATATTAGCATTCCAACAATGAAGTTGCCACACTAGAAAAATAGATTTTTTGTGCAAATTTCGTATACAAAATCTTACCGAAACCAAGATATACCAAACGCGGCCATTAATTTTATGCAAAATTAAAATTAAAGTCAATAAAAACAA